ACATGGCCATGAGTTGGTTTGTACATTCCTATTACACATAACAAGTTTTATCAATATCCTTAAAAGTCAAAGTCAGTGATGTGGATTAATTTTTTATTATACCGGTTATTATCTTTAACAAACAACTTTTGCCAGCACCATTGTGACCGAGAATAACACTGAATTCTTGATTATAAAAATCGATCGTTACATCATTTATAGCCGTAATACTTTCGCCAATCCTACCAAATTCCTTTCGAACACATCTCACTCGAATAGATGGCTATTGTTCACATAAATAAATTATAGAAAGATTCAGAAATAAATAGTCAATCAAAAGATATAAATAATTATTAATGTCTTATAAGAATTATTTTCTGTCTCTCTCTTTGGACTCAAATGACAAATTATATAATAATAATAATAATCGCCCTCTTGAAAATAATGTAAATGTTAAGATGTTTTTATTATCATATATTACTGCTTTTTTTTTAATTAGGTATTTAACACTTCATAAAAATTATATGTATGCCGCATCATTTTTACTTTACATAAGGTTAGTTCAAATAGATTTTACAAATATTTGTATGTTTACTTGAGGAACATGGCGATATTTATAGTCCGACTTTATATTCAAGGCTCTTATTTTAAATATAATCTCAAGAATCTTATTTTAAATACAATTCCGAAACGTTGTACGATTTATTTCGTTGGCTAAATATTGGCTAAAACTGTGCATGACAAAACTTTTGTTTTTAACAATATTTGTACCTTTATATATGATGGTGTGTGCTCCACTGCTGACCAGTTAGTTGATCCTCGGATAATTAAATCATTGTCATCATAAACAGGTTTCTATGAAATATATTTATATTTATTACTTACAAAAGTAATAAATATTACGCTAAGTAATAAATATTATGCTTTTTAATTATGCTTTCAAAAATATAAATCTGACTTTATAAAGAATACTATACTATATCACTTATATAAGATAATTTAAAGAGTAATAATATATTAGAATTATAAATATATTATTTACTTTGAATAAATAGTACCAGGGCTTTGCGCTGCCAAATTTTCCTGGATTAACATTATCTAAGTATACCGCTAGTAAATACCAAAAAATAATATGCAATATCCAGATAAATAGAATCAAGCTAACAGGAATTTTTTCTACGGCGTGAATGATATTGTGGGCATCTCGTAGTGTTATCAGTTCAGGAAGCCACCGCGGCCACAAGTACGAGGTAGGACCAATGTGATTGCGCGGTTTTGGCAATACTCGTCTGTATTGCCACATGTATTTCAAATTTTCGCTATAATCATCTATCAGCGTAAAAGTCATAATGACATAATGCACCACTAATACATGTTATTTATCATTTATACAATATATGTAATGTGATTAATCTTGTGTTCACCGAATTTTTATAGATTTTTAAATTATAAGTATATGATTAAATAAAAATTAATTAAAAAATGTATATCAATTGTAATTATGAATGTAAATTATATATGTATATTTCTCTCTGAAAAGCAAACGTATTACTTTTGTAGCAAAACCTTGAAACATAATTACTAGTTGAAAAATCAATCAGGTTATGATAAGTCAGTGATTTAAGAATTGTACGAGTAATAAACATAGCTTTGGTATATAATACGCTTCAATAACTCGCTCAGGAATGTGCGTTTCGAAACATATATTCTGTGTTTTTCATATTTGCTAGGAATTTTTTTGTTGTGCACTTACATTGGAAAAATTTTTTAATAACAAATGTGAAAGGAGTTTTATTTGACAAGAAAAATGAAATATATACAAACAATAATTGATTATATGAATAAATATAATGTAAATATAAATAAAATTTCAATTAAGTCATTCTTTTTGACAATTGCCATATTATTCACATTAAAATCAAATAATAGATTGACTCACCGAAATTCGTGTAAGTTGTGAAGGCTATTATTCCATAAAGCAAACCACTATGCGGCAGAATCAGTGAACTAATCCTCCACAACATAGATTCTGTTATCAAAAACTGATCCAGAACGATAGTCAAGTGCGTCAAAAAGAGCCAAAACAAAACCGATGTAAGCAATGCTTTCGTAGCTATAATAAAATGACGTACAATCATAAAGATTAGGATTTTTAGAAAGAAAAATTGCGTTGCGCGTATTTATAAAAAATATATATATATATATTGTATATACAAATTATATTAATATTGCGAGAGTATTGGATTAAGTTATCAATGAAGCTAATTTTTTCATTTTTTTCACATAAACATTTACATTCATGCATATTATTTTTTCCTTTTACTCACATATTTGAATGACTTACGATGATCGAAAAATGTGCTGATGGTGAACATGAAGAGCATTGATAGTATATTGTACATTATGATAAATATAGCAATGACTAACACATTTGCATCCGAAAACACAGGAAACAAAAGGATTGTGCATACGATCGTCACGGGTAATAGAATGATCATAAGATAATTGAGCCATCCGATGTACAACATTGTGAAAGATATATTTGTTAATCTCATAAGACTCTAAAATAATATTTCTATTAATAATAGATAATATACATAAGAAAGAAAACGTAAGAAAAATTAATATATCAGCGAAAAACAAATTTAATTTTATTTAATAGAAGCTCACTCTGAATCCAGTTTGTTTATCGTGAAGTGCCTTTTTTAACGTTGCTGCTGGCAGCAAAAGGAAAGCAACAACCATCACATAATAGATTATGCTTATGTTAGGTCGAATGATATACGGTAAAATTAAAAAATTGACTTTATAAAATGGAAATCGGCCAATAATTAGCTGCAAAGAAGCCTACTGTTATCAACAGCTTTTTACAGTTATTACTGATATCAGTTTCATTGCAATTTCATTATATCAAGTACTTACATTATCAGCAATCTTTGGTAATGTCGGATTTGTCCACATCTCCACAAAAGATTTCTCAATCGCAATTTGTAAAGCCATGAAACCACTTAATACATATGGATCTTCAACGAGAAATATTAAATAATTTATTGAATATTTCAGTCACTTGTGCTTAATGCGTGTATTACATTACATAAAAAAATTAACTTGAGTGTATATTTGTTATAATTATACATTAATAATTAATATTTAATATAAATTAAATTTAAATGTAAATTTAAACGATTTATATTTAACGTAAATAATGATTTTTAAGTTCAAAATGTGTTTCAGTGTAAAATAAACTTTAAGAATAACATATGAATTAATTAATTTAAGATTTATAGTTATGTTTACTTATAAAAATATATTTTGGATACCCTTATAGGCAGGTTCTTCCTCATGCATCATAATCATCTGATTCTCGCCTATTTCAGATGAACGTATTTTATATTCTAAGACCTTTGATTTTCCAGATGTGAGCTTATCAATCTCGAATATTGCCCATAATACTTTAGAAGTATCATTTTTTGCGTAACGTGAATGTACAAGGTTAATTTCACTGTCGGCCGCTTGAACTAATATGTATAATATGTAGCTTTCATTTAATTTCTTTTATATAAGCATGTTTGAGATATTATCTTACTATTTGTATGAAGCATTTTCGTGGCTTTCAGCATTAACTCATCTATAAATGCATTTCTTGGTGCATACCAACATTGTACATCATCTGGCAATTTTGTTAGGATATCGTTGCGACTGTATTGATCTAAATCCTTTAGATAAAATATATAAGAAATATCATATACACTTAATTATTAGAATGCACAATTATTAGAATATTAAAACAATTATTAAATATTTAGCATAAACATGAGTAATTTCTGTATAAAAATTATATTGTATAATATCGTTCTGTACTTATTATTCTATAAATTATACTGCAATGCAATTTAATATCTAATGAAACAGATGTTTCTAAAACCACAATACATATATAATTTTGATATTAATTAAAAAATGAAAAAATAACATAAAATTATAATATAGAAATTATTAAAAACAAGAATCAAGTTGTATATTAGTCTTAAGATAAATATGTTTATCCAACTTTACAATTGCCAGTGAGACTACCTGCAAATGAAGAGCAAACGGTTCAAACATTAAACGTATCTGTAACGAAAAGACAATGGCTATAATTATCTCCAGTGCAGTGGTTATACGGTTATGCAGCCTCATAAGCACGGCTTTCCACATAAAAATCCGCCATCTCGTTCCAAATCTTCTCAATTTTGGATGCCTGATGATCTCTCTTATCCTCAGCATTTCGGCTCTCACCAAGATAAAATCAAATTGTTTTAATCAAATTCATGCGCGGCTATTTTGCGGTCTGTTTAGCACAAAGAGAAAGAGAGAAAGTAAGTGTGTTTCCCGCATAGTCAAGAAACCGAGGGTCCTTGACAGCTGTTTTTAAGAGAAGAATTAATAATATTTTCTACGAGAAAACAATGAAGCACTATCAGTCAGAGTTATCAAAATTACGCATAAACAAAGTAGGCGCTTCTGACAAATTTTCAACGAATTTCGAAAAAGAATTGACCAATCGCATCGTCATGTAACCGAATATTTTAAATCGTGAATATTTTTATACCATGATTCAAATTATGATTCAAATATGATTTGTCAATTTTTTCTTCGTTCGAGATCTCGAAATGATGAATTTCTAACATTGTAGACACGGGCTTAAAAGAGATAAATTGCGATTTCGAGAATTCAGCATTTTAATTTACAAAATTCGAAGTTTTTTAAAGGGTTACGCCATTTTGAAACTTTGAAAAAACGAAAATTTTTTTTCGCTTAAATGAATAAATAAGTTTATACATGTAAAAATATAATTCCATTAGTTGGAATCGAAAATTCGAAATATTTGTAAAGTTGCAGTTGATTCTTTGAAGCGGGTCCCCTCGATTGGCACATCGCACGCAGCTTCAAAGTTCGGAGCAGCTCATCAGAAAAGACAGTAGTAATAGCTATAAATATCAGTAGAAATTTCTGTTGTATAACTTAGGGTAGCGTCAGTACACAGCTATTTTTAATGTAAGTAACTTCTGCGAAAAGTGAACGCATCAAAATAGCGAAGTGTTTTTTAAAGCGGCAAAAGATGCTCGCAGAATCAAACCAGAAAGAGGCTGAAGAGGATTTATGTCAATATTTTGAAGGACAACTGTATGGCGCAGACGTTGCAAACTAAAGGTAATTTTTACATTTTTTAATTTTATATAAGAACAATCGTAGGTATTGGAAAACTTTTTTTGGACGACATTTTTCAAATTAACGTATATACATTATAACTTTTACAATTTTCATTCGATGAAAATCAATCACTTGAAACTTTCAGAGAATATTTTTTTGCTAATTATCTAAAAAAGTACGTAACGATTTTGCGATTAGTTATAAACTATTATTATTATTAACATCTTTGTGTAAAATTTTTTGGTCGTAAATATTTGTTTTGATAAAACTGTAGAAAAGGAGAGCATCCGCCGACGACCTTGACCTGATCTTTTGGTGCAAGGTGGCCTTCATTTTGCGTGGAAGGTTGTAAATCTAATAGAACTTTGCTTCTTGAATGTACTTTCCACGTGAAAGTAAAAAATGGATTGGGTTAAGTTTTTTTAATGCGAAACGACATGGATTTACAATCTTTCACGCAAAATGAAGGTCTCCTTACACTAAAAAATGGGTTAGGTTAGAGTAAGATTTTTTTTAACGCGAAATGACTTTCACTCCACCACTGGATTCACACGTTTACACTTTTCAACAAAGCGAGATTCCATATATGTTTACAACTTTCGTTATAGCAGAAATGAGACGGTATTTTTTAAACTTTTTTTGTTAATTACTTTTTAACGGACAGGGACCGACGACTGAAACTTATTGGAGGTTACTCAGGGTGATGACCCTGACAACATATGTCAAAATCAAAGTCGTCGGCGGATGTTCCCTTTTCTGCAGTTTTACCATTGTTTTTTTTTCCCAATGTTCATCATTTTCACGAAGATACATATTTCTAAAAACCTCTACGTACTTATTTAGTAAATATTATGTAGAAAATAAATGTTTTTGGTTTTTTGTTCTAAGTCAAACCGTTTCGTAGTAATCTTGTACGTCATCAATTGGGTATTCGCTAAAAACTAGCTTATTTCAATCAACTACAGTGCTGTCATTTTGTTCAAAAAAATTAAAAAAAATTTTTTTCGTATACTTCAATACGTGTATAATGAATGCCTCTTTATATATTTTTAGTATATTTTATTCTTTTTGCACAAAAAATTTCCAAAAATAATCCCTTCTTTTTAAGAGTTTTCCAAAGTGTAATCCATTAAAAAGAGTAGGATGGATAAATTACTTTATTTTTCTAGATTTTATTTTTTTCTACAATTTGAAAAAAAGGAGCAATAAATTTATTGATATAAATAAATTCCGAGTCGATTTGCGATATCTATTATAAATCCTCATATATATCGATGTCATGGCTACGAAAAAATTCCGAGTCGATCTATATATATCGATGTCATGACTACGAAACTGTTATTAATCTGCTGATACAGTTTTTTTAAAACTACGTATATTCTTAACAATTTTCAGGATTTTTAAATAAACTGATGGCTACCAACATTGTTTCGCAGTAGGAAGGAAAGTGATTGGCGAATATTACGGTCTGCTGGAACTTGCGTCACAAAATCGTGGTGTGTTTACGAACGGATTTTTCCATTCATTTTTACTATTTTTATTTAGGAATTTTTAGATTTGTGATATATGTTTAGATTTTATTCGTAATACAGTTTTAGGTATTCACATAAAAAATCGCAATAATTGTGATTAAAGTAATTTTATTATCACGAAGAAATTCCTTTCTTTTTTAACATACAATTAAATGTGAAATTTTTAATTGACGATACAATTGTAATAATGATTAATGAATTTTATCTGTGTTTATTTATTAACGAGTTTGACATATTTAGATATATTTTTATAAACTATTCCAAGATGAAGATTATCCAACACATTTTCAAAGACATTAAATTGCATCGACTATTTCTGGATCTTTCTCTTTTATCGGCAAAGATAAGTCTGGCGATAATAATGGCAACTTTCAGAATGATTGTACCATGTTCCATGAAACGTTTAATAGGAGAAACCGTTCTTGTAAGCTTGTTTTGCTTTTTATCAACTGAAGGAAAATTGCAATGATTTTAAATCCTTAAAATTTATAATACGTACATATTTTTAAAACTATTTTATTCACTTCGAAATCAGATCACTGGAGCTGGCCATGGACTTGGCCGCGAATTAGCGATCCAGTTGTCTTCGATGGGTTGTATAATTGTTTGTTGGGACAACGATATCGATAGTAATCGATCAACAATGAGAGAAGTGTCGAAAAATGGCGGAGAGGTAAGTATATATTTAATTTTCATTTATATTGTATTTTGTTTTTTATTTTTAATACAATTTTTTGAAAGAGATACAATCAGATGTTGTAAAAAAAAACATGCATGTAACTATTTTTAGGTCTATGGTTTCGTGGTCGATGTCTCGAAAAGAATGGAAGTGCGTGAGACAGTGAGATTAATGAGAAAAGTCGGTGTGCCAAATGTTACAATGCTCATTAATAATGCAGCTGTATTATATCATAAGCCGTATCTAAATTTTGATTCGGATGACGTGGAAAAGACATTTAATGTTAACGTACTTTCAAATTTTTGGGTGTGTACTTATGCCATTAAATCATATTCTATAAATTATATCCATTTAATTAATGAATATTTATTAAACATTTTAAATATGTAATGATAATTTCAAAGTTACTTTGTAAGAGTTTCGCTTAATAATAACAACACACACACACACACACACACACACACATACACACATTCTTCAAATTTAATAACGTAATATTCTTATATAATAGATTATATGTAATAATAGATTATGTAATATTCTTATTTGTATTTTGAAATCAAGAATTCATTAAGCCTTTTTTTTTAAAACTAATTGAGGAACGATTTTATCGAGGTATAAGATAATTTATAAAGTTAATAATTTTTTTATTTTAAATAGACAATAGAAGCATTTTTGCCTATGATGTTGATGAAAGGAAGCGGTCACATAGTAGCGATAAGTAGTATGTGTGGAATTTATGGAGTGTCACAAAAGGTGGCATATTGCTCATCAAAATTTGCTGTGAGAGGTATTTTATCAAAATTTTATTTATTTGTAGTAGAATTTCAATAAGTTCAAGTTTAATTCGTAGGCCTTATGGAGGCTCTTCACGAGGAAGTACGATTAGATGAAAGAAAACCTAATATTCATTTCACAACGATATATCCATTCTATATTGATACAGGATTAGCGAAGGATCCTAAATACAGGTGAAAATATTTAGATTGAATTAATAATAGACGTTATTTTTTATAAGGCATTATAGCAAAAAAAATGTACATATTAATATTCACGTAATGTAATTATATCTCACTCATCACGAGATTGTATTCATCATACTATCAATTAAACAAGTATTTTTTTAACGAGTATACATCGACGATATCTATGATGAAATAGCGTTTCCAGACATTTTCCGGCCTAGTCGCGGTGATTCGCACGCGAACATTGTATTTACGAAACGAGTCGTCTTTATCCACTGCAACATAGCGTAATTGTATGGAATGTAATTAGCGCCCAGTAAGTGGAACGTCTGATCCATGAAGTAATAATGAGATTAAAAAAAAATATTGCACCTATGATTCACCATCTTCGACGCGATTTCTAATTTTTATATATTTAACATTATATTGAAAAGGAAAGTTAAGGTTACATGGATGTAAAATATCTTGATGTATTACTTATTGTTAGAAAACTTTATTATATCTCTCTTTTCTCGTAGCAGAAAGAAACTTATACACTTTTGAAATTAAATTTAATTAAATACAAAATCAAACGTTGATTATAAAATCTGATTACTTTAAATGTGAATTAATAATAAGAAAAATATAAAGAAAGAGTTTTTTTATCCGTATAATATTATATACTTTTTTACATATTACAATATGCATGATGAAAAATACTTGTTTTATATTCATGATGTTAATAAATTAAAAATGAATGAATTGTTTTAATCTAGAATGAATTCCAGGTTTCCTTATATTTTCGGCGTTGTGACACCAGAATACGCCGCCCGTGAAATAATTAAAGCAATTCGAAGAAATTATACTGAATATTCAATACCGCGATGTCTTTTTTCTTTAAATGCAATCAACAGGTACCGGAATCAAAAGTCGCGCTATTATTGTCTGTTTGCCCACATCTAATTAACATTAATTAAATTTGTGTTGTTTTATATATAAATATTCATTATCCATAAATATTCTTGATGATCATGTTATGATGAAATATTTATCATTTTTTTTCCTCTTCAGGATTGTTCCAGAGAATGTAATGCGTTTGATATTAGACTTTTTAGCGGATGTCGATCAAAAACAGAAAGAAAAAGACACAATGAATGCGAAACTAGATTTGATAAAAACTTAAAAATTATACAAAGGTGCTATATTTTTTTTTATTAGGTATGAATTTTACACAATAGATAAAATGAAGTTTACCTGTAATATACAATACAATAATGTATTATTAGATTAATAAACATACATACGTTTCTATACATTTTATTTGCATTTATTATTAATGATTAATTTGACAATTTGATATTAAATGCGGCATTTTTTTATCTTTACGGTTAAACATAACGTTATCTGATACTGTCGGAATTACTTGTTCTCTGCTTTCATAGCGCATTATGGCTTATACGGATTGTAACTACTACATTTTTTTTTAAATTTGACGCACAACAATTTGACTAAATAAGCAATTAAAAAATTATTATTTATTATTATTTAAAAATTATTTGGTGAACAGAATAGTTTTTTAAAGAGGAAAAATGAGATTACAACTCATTTGTCAATCATATTAAGCGATTTTACAAATTTCAATGGACTACATGTATTGACATTTTTAATTTTTTTAATTAACTAGATAACTTATATAATATTGTAATTTTGATCTAAGAATCTGATAATTTAAGTAATATTATAATTTTTTGAATGCGTCTTAACATTGAGAATGATCCTATCGTCGAAATGTTTGTATTGCATTTCTTTATATTTATTTTGGAATATTAAATTCTTAATTTATTTTTAACTGGCTCGTAGCTCTTCTATTTATTTACATTGATTTATTCTAAGTAAGCCATATTATTAATTTATATATATAATTTTAATTTTACTTTTCCATGATGTGTTAATGTAAACGTATTACTACAATAAGAGGACCAGTGATTGACCTGAACTATTGGAAGGAAAAGTGCAATGTTCTTTTAGAAAGTAAAATATATCAAGTGTGCAATCACAATCACGCTGTTATTGTCAGTCTATTCGATTACATAACTAACAAGTGTGTTAGCTTTGGTTAGTACATGAAATATTATATCTTTCGATTTATAACATGGGCTGCATCTATCTTGTAAAAGTAATTTGAGTGCACTTTTGTTACTTCCGCGTTGTTGTTGCAACATAATTTACTCGATGTTCATATGTCATTTAACTTATACCCGAATGCGTATACGCAAAGTTTTTATTTATTTGCGATCTGATAATTGATTGAATTCTTGAATCGCGGATCAATATTATTATTATTTATTTTTATACGCATTTAAATACTTTGAACATTTGTTATTTCACAAGTATATGCGATAATTTGTGTGTAAGTGGAAACTAATATATTCATAACCTTTTTTTACATTTTGTAAAAAAAGATTTATTTTTATAAGTGTATGTATTACGGATGATTTATCGGAATAACGTCTGATCGGATAATTAGTACAAATATGGTAATATTATTCAAAGTAATATTATTCATTTTTATATAAGATAAAAAACTGCTCAGTTAAATATTGTAATAAAATAATGTTTTTTGTGATAGAAAATGTATTATACACATAAAATTTATAGCACGAATTTAAATTCTGTTTTTGTCATCTATATGATTATAGATATAACATATCCAATATCCAGTACTTGCTAGAAAATTATCTATTTTAGCTATTTTTTTGTACTTAGATCATTTTCGCTATAACTGTAAGATTACTTTTTTGATATATTAAATATTGAATTGCATTTTTTTTTTAATTTTAGAGAATAAAAAGCATAAAAGATATTCTTATAATTAGAATGCGTGATTCAAGAATGACCTTAACTTTGAATAGTGGACGAAACTGACTTAAAGCCAAGTCGTTATTATTTTCCTATTATACTTTAAGCAATGAGCAATTTTATTTTATTGATTATAAATGTTAAAAAATATTGATATTATAAATTATGCAAAAATGATATAAATTTATCTCATTTTTCTTTATGTCTCTACATATGTATAATCGGCAATGCAAATTATGTAATTTTTTACAGAGAGATCTTTGCACAATCTAATTAAACCATTATTAAATAGAAGCATGCTGGTAACTACTTGAATTTGCATTACTATATAAGAAGTAACAAGGTATTCATGATTGTGAAAGAACTCTTCTCTCTATATTAAAAAAAGAAGTCAATAATTTAATTACTAAATATAAAGTTTTATAGAAATCTTTTCTGCATTTATAGTTACATTAATGATACGTGTAATCTTTGTAATGTCTACATTTTTTCATAGATTATATCTATTTAAATTAAAACATTTAAAAAATTAATTGTAACATTCAAAACGTTATGAAATAGTGTGTTACGTCAGAAGACATGACATAAAAAATTTCCCTCAAACAAATTCAATGTCTAAATTCTAAGCAGAATCGTAAGATTTGTAACATTATTTTTGTAAGACGTAAGAATTTTTAAGTGCTCATACCTATATACAATATTTTTTTGCAGACAGCTTCTCATTAGTCAAAATTTATAAAAAAATCATAGATATTTTATAAAATAAATATCATAGAATAATTGTACGTCTTACGATACATACGTATGAAATTAGAATATTAATCATAAATTCTTACAAGTTCTACGAGTTTTATGATTCTATTTAAAATTGATCCACAAGTCTTTCTTGTACAGCTAATCGCAGAAAGGTTGCAATACTTTTCTTTCGATGGATTTCGGAATTCAGTGTTTCATAGAGCGGTTGACACAAATAGTAGATTCTTCTGTAAGTAAGAACCAACCACTCAGTGAGCAAGCTGCATTCCGAAGCCTATATAAGGAAAAATAAGTGTTGCTTTCTGTCATCGGATCGTAGTTTCTATATATATATATATATACATTTCTATATATGAAAAAAAGATCAGCTGAATATGGTAATATTCTGGCTGCAGCAACCAATTTTTAATTGTGTTAGTGGCTAAAAAAATTGATTATTATGTTGTACCATCTAAATATACATATTTCACCATTTAAATTGATTGTAGTAGTCATTAATTGCAATCTTTTCTTTCAATGTATCTCTCAAAACTTTTTAGCATTCAAAAACTTTGCACAATAAATTTATCTATTTTTAAAACATATAAAAAGAAGAACATAAAAACTTTTCTTGATATGACAATTAGCGTTGTAACATTATTGTATGAAGCATCTTCACATAGAAAAGAATATGTTTATTTAATTACAACTCCCGACTGTTGAATTTAATGTAACTAGATGTAACTCTGCATTTTAAGAATATTATTGAATTACTGAAGATGGCCAGATTGTGGCCGAAACATTTAATGTTTTAATTAATGTAATAATAATTAAATATCACAAACTATAACTTGTGCTGTGGTTTTTTATGCTCTTCTTTTTATATGTTTTAAAATTATAACCATGTTAGTTTTCAAGATATATTTTATCTATTTTTCTTTTGCATAATAAATTTAATTTTTTGTTTAATAAAATTAAAAACTATCTTGTTTTATTACTAAACGCGAGTAATAAAATATTATAAAATCTATAAATTTATATAATAGACGAATTTATAAAATAATTTACCAACAATTTTACCAACATTGTCATTTGTTTGAGAATAATATTAAAGATTTATAAATAATCGTAATTAAAAATCAATAATAAAATTTCTTTTTTCATTAAATCAAGAATATTTTAATTAGAAAATCCAGATATGCATTATTAATATTGAAATCAAACAAGTTATATTATATATGGATTAATGATGTGCAACTTTCAGTACTATTCATATAAAGAAAATAATATTAAAAAATACTCGAGCAAAGAAGGAAAGGAACAAGAAAACGGCGTTGACAACGACCTTGGTTGGGTCTTATAACTTGACTATTCTCAGTATGTTGTACAGTTCCAGTGTTCAGTCAAGTTCAAGCGATTCGAGCGGACTGACCGCTGACGTTGTTACATTCACGGAATTATTGTTTCTCTACGTCCCCCACTTACGTTCACAAAACTGCTGAGTGACTTGATCTAACGTCATCCAGTGATCTACGCGTCTCTCGCGCGGTAACGTTTCTCGCTCTATTCCTTCTGTGCGATTATAAGACCGCTACCTTGTGCTATATATGCGCACTTATATTATATATAGTGTAAATTTGGATAATCTGTTAAAATAGGTATGTGAAGAGACAATTTGCATTCATAATAAAATTTATAGTCTAAAATTTATTTTAAAATTTTTGTATTTATGCCAAGAATGGAAACTTTAAAGTATTATATATTTTATTTTATCTACACAAAAAAAAAAGTTTTATTAGTAACATCAGTCAACAACAGTTTAAAAATAATCTTGTTAATTCAATAATATTAATGAAATTTACTCAAATTTTAATAAAATGTTACTTGTTAGTATTGTTGTTGAATTAATAAGATTATTTTCAGATTAGATTAATACTGCTAATGTAATATTTTTTTTTTCATTAATTTTTTCATTAATTTTTTATTATTTTTGACAGTACATTTTTGAAACTAAGAAATTTAATATAATATTTAAGAACTTTGAACTGTTTAAGTGTTTTTATAATTAATATATATTTGAGTTAAAATTTTATGAAGAGAAAAAGAATATCCGCTTAACATTGTTGAATTTAAAGAATTTGTCTAGCTCTAAATTTTTTCTATATTTATATAATATATAAATATAAGAGAGTGTGTGTGTGTGTGTGTGTGTGTGTGTGTGTGTGTGTGTGTGTGTGTGTGTAAAAGAGATCATGGTCTGTTTTCTGTTGCTGTACGAGACTGCACTAGAACTCTTTTTGACAAATATTATACATATACTTATCTCATTTTAAGTTCCAAAAGTATACACTAATTCAGCCACAGAAAACAGACCGTATGTATATTTTATTTACAATTAATTAAAATATTCAGATATGTAGAATAACTGAAAAATTTATTGATAAAAGAATTTTACAAATAGATACATCAAGTTTATTAATCCACTATATCTCCTATTTGTCTTGACATATTACAAGATTAAACGAGTAAACAATCGTTCAAAATAAATAAAAACATGATATGGATTATCTGTAGATTTTATTAAATAATAGATGATTTGAATAGTTTTTAAGTAATAAAAAAATATATAAATATTTTTAACAAAATTAATTAATAATATTTTTATATTATAAATACATGCAACTGTACCAAACTTACAGAAGTGACTAATCC